AGTATGCAAGTGGGAAGAGCCACTTTGCTGTCCAGTTGGAATCTAGCATCTTCAGAGATAAGGGTGCAAAGAGAATGCTTATTTTCTTGGCTCCTCCAGGGGCACTGTTTTTGCGAATCCCCTTCTGTTTATACCCACTACGTTAGCTGTCCAGTATGCTTTCCCTCATTTTGGTGGTTCTGTATGGTAGGGAACATGCATGTATTTTTGTCTTCCAGGTCAATATCCAACACAGCCAACCTACCCTGTGCAGCCTCCTGGGAATCCAGTGTACCCGCAGACCTTGCATCTTCCTCAGGCTCCACCCTATACTGATGCTCCACCTGCCTACTCAGAGGTGCTTCCAGTTTACCAGATTGAACTTGTTGAGAACACATTTGGATTGCATTTTCAGTCCTTAGCTAAGTCTCACTCCTTAGATGTACAAACAGGAGAGTGCTCTCATGAATAATCTAAAACAGTATGTAGTTCCTCAATTTCTGTAGGATTCAGAATGCACTATCTGATTCTTTTACAGTATTTGGCACAGGCCGAGGCTAAGATGAGTTTGTGTTCCTTGAGTCTAACATTAGCTCTAGCAGGAAGAGATTTAGAATATTGAGCAGTAGGGGAAAGGCAACTTGTATAACATATAGATTGTAATCTGCACAGAGAGAATTAAGAGTGACTCATTAAAGAGGAACAGGATTGAAGTCTGAATCAGTAGTGTTGTCAAGTAACATTTTGCCTTCTCCTGCCTTTTCTAGCTCTATCGTCCGAGCTTTGTGCATCCAGGGGCTGCCACAGTCCCCACCATGTCAGCTGCATTTCCTGGCGCCTCACTGTATCTTCCCATGGCCCAGTCTGTGGCTGTTGGACCTTTAGGTTCCACAATCCCTATGGCTTATTATCCAGTTGGCCCCATTTATCCACCTGGTTCAACAGTGCTGGTGGAAGGAGGGTATGATCCAGGTGCCAGGTTTGGAGCTGGGGCTACTGCTGGCAACATTCCTGTAAGTATGACTTTGTCAGAAAAAAACTCAGCCCTTATGTATTTTCACTTTCTGAAATGACTGCATATTCATCCTTTCACCGTCCCTGGATAATAGTTGCTGATTTTAGTACAACCAGTGACATGTACTAGTCAGGCAGAAAGCAGTTGGGAGAGGGCATGAAAACTGTGGCAGGTCAGTAGCATGTGGAACATTCACTGGGGTCTGAGTTAACCAGATTCCTTTGTTCTCCTGTCCTAGGAGTCTTGCCTGCTGCTTTTTCAGTTCTCTTTGGAACAGTGAACTGGTCTAATATTTATTTGTTCCATAGCATTTACTTAATATTTGTTATCAGCATGGCATGGTATTAGGAGCTATGATGATTAAAAAGTAAAATGCATGATTTCTTTTAAGTAACAGAAAGATACTGAGGATTTTATGTCTCCTGCTTAGTTTCCCTATGCATGGGATTTAGAGCCCAAATGTTCCTTGCTGGGCCTTGAGGCCTTTCTACTTACCATATGTTAGAGATGAGGTGGGAATGGTGTAAATAGGTTAGAGCCTTTTGGTTATCCCATGGTCATTTGAAAACTACTGAGGGACCCTGTGGTATAGGGCTGTGGACCTGACACCCAATCCTGTTTTTGGAATGTGGGTAGGAAATCACTGGAAATGCCAATGGGTCTAGACTGCCCATGTTCAGATGGTATCCATAGGCTTTACCTTGGAACTGGCACTCTTTGAATAAGTGGTATTCCCCTGTTCGTATCTTTGGGTTCATAGATCTACTTTAGAACCCTGATTGGTGGCAGGCTATCTCCTGAAAATGCAATTGGTCAGCACATTGCCATCTTCCTAACAAGGTTCTCTGTTTCACCTTTGTCTGCTTCCCTCATATCAGCTGCTTTGTGCCCAATCAATCTTGTCTTTTCCTTTCAGCCTCCACCCCCAGGATGCCCTCCCAATGCTGCTCAGCTTGCAGTCATGCAGGGAGCCAATGTCCTCATAACTCAGCGGAAGGGGAACTTCTTCATGGGTGGCACAGATGGTGGCTATACCATCTGGTGAAGAACCAAGGCCACCTCTGTGCCGGGAAAGACATCACATACCTTCAGCACTTCTCACAATGTAACTGCTTTAGTCATATTAACCTGAAGTTGCAGTTTAAGACACATGTTGTTGGGGTGTCTTTCTGGTGCCCAAACTTTCAGGCACTTTTCAAACTTAATAAGGAACCATGTAATGGTAGCAGTACCTCCCTAAAGCATTTTGAGGTAGGGGAGGTATCCATTCATAAAATGAATGTGGGTGAAGCAGCCCTAAGGATCTTCCTTTAATTCCTCTGGAGTAATACTGTACCATACTGGTCTTTGCTTTTAGTAATAAAACATCAAATTAGGTTTGGAGGGAACTTTGATCTTCCTAAGAATTAAAGTTGCCAAATTATTCTGATTGGTCTTTAATCTCCTTTAAGTCTTTGATTTATATTACTTGTTATAAATGCATTAGTTGTCTGCCTTTTCTTTTCCATCCTTTGTCCCACATCCCACCCTCAGCCTGTCTTCCATCCCCTCCCGCCAATCTCCATTGAATCAATGGTGCAGGACAGAAAGCCAGTCAGACTAATTTCCTTCTCTTCTTGCACTTCTCCCCACTTGCCATCTTCTAACTAGTCTTTCACAAGGATCCTCTGAAACGCCCTCTGTGCCCAAGCACAGACCCCATTACTTCTGCTTATGCATCTCCTCAGGCAAAAGAGGGGGGTGCCTTTGGACCCTCCTCGTAGATTGTCTCTTCATACATGAACCAAATCGAAATTTGCTTTGGTGCCAGAAAAACTGAGCTTGTTTGAACAACAGATAGTAACACAAACTGTACTGTAAACAACAGTTTGTTTAAAATGTATGTGTGGGCAGGGGGCAATGAGGAGGATGCCTTTCACAAGCCTGATGACTTTAGAGCCAAAATTACGGGGAGTTTTCAGATCAAAAATTGGTTACCATTTATTGTCCCAGTGTCTGATGCAGCCACTCATGGCTCCCAAGAATTCCTCAGCTGGGTTAATGGGGTCATATTGTGAATGCCTCACTGCAAAATGACTTGAGTCCAGTGAAATCTCATTAGGGTTAATATTTCAGGGATCCTTAATATTTTAATTTTTCAGCAATTGGATTTTATTTTATTTTATCTTATAATTTCAGTTCATCTAAATTGTGTTCTGTACATGTGATGTTTGACTGTACCATTGACTGTTATGGAAGTTCAGCGTTGTATGTCTCTCTCTACACTGTGGTGCACTTAACTTGTGGATTTTTTTATACTAAAAATGTAGAATAAAGACTATTTTGAAGATTTGAATAAAGTGATGAAGTTGCATTACACCTCACTTCAAGGATTCTTTAATCAGCTTGTTTTTAAGATTCCTTCTGTCTATAGCTTTTATATCTCACCAAGAATTCAGATAGGTGCTGCTGCCATTTCCCCCCCCCCCCCTTTTTAAAATGAAGCCTTTGAAATAAATGCAGGAGGGCAAGGCTGAGATTGGACCACTTTCTTTTCCTTTTAATAAGATTTTATTATATTTTTTTTAGAGAGGGGAAGGGAGGGAGAAAGAGGGAGAGAAACATTGATGTGTGGTTGCCTCTCACATGGCCCGCACTGGGGACCCAGCCTGCAACCCAGGCATGTGCCCTGACTGGGATTTAAACCTTTGGTTCACAGGCTGGCACTCAATCCATTGAGCCACACCAGTGAGGGCATGGACCACTTGAGTTCAACCCAACATGTTTAACTTTTTTTCATTTTACTTCCTAAGCTCTTTCAGATTTTTAGTTTTTAAAAATTGATTTTACAGGGAGAGAAAACATCAATTTGTTGATCCTTGTATGTGCCCTGATGGGGGATTGAACCTGTAGCCTTAGTGTATTGGAATGATGCTCTAACCAGGGCAGATTTTTTTTTTTTTTAAATTAAAGATTTTATTTTAGACATGGGAAAGGAGGGAGAAGGAGAAGAATATCAATGTGCAGTTGCCTCTTATGTGACCCCTGCTGGGGACCTGGCCTGCCACTCAGTTATGGGGCCTGACTAGGAATCAAACCAGTGACCCTTTGGTTTGCAGACCAACGCTCAATCCGCTGAGCCACACCAGCCAGGTTGTCACAGCAGATTCTTCAAAAGCCTATTATGCCAGAGGAATTCAGACTACAAACCTAGAGATAAGGGAATGAGCCCTGGCCAGGTGGCTTGGTTGGAGCACTGCCCCTATGCCAAAAGTTTACAGGTTCAATTTCCAGTTAGGACACACACCTAGATTGTGGGTTTGATTCCTGGTTGGGCCACATACGGGAGGCAGCCGATCGGTATTTCTCTCTTACATTGATGTTTCTCTCTCAATTGAAAAAAAAAGAGGAACGATTGATTCTCCTAATGCCCTAAAGTTTGACTCAAGGAAAATGTTTTTAGTATAAGTTTGTGTAAGTTCAGGGTGACTTTGAGTTACTCCAAAGTTCTGTGTGAAGAAATACTGGAAACTGGAATCTAGATTGCCAAGATTGGTTTCCTCAGCTCTTAAAAATCTTACTTGGGGTGGACATGGGCAGCTATGATTTCTACCAAAACAATTGCGCCGTTTAAACATACCTCATTTTGAGATGTAAGTTAGATCCAAGAAGCTTCTCTGGGCTTGATTCCAGAACACTCGTGAAAAAAGTGGTAAGAAGACTGTTTCTGGTTCCCTCTGCGTATACAGAGAATGGATTCTGGGAAACTGTGGTCCTCGCCAGGGTGGAGAAGAAACCAGTCCATCTCCCAGGGTGTTTGTAATGACACTCATCTGGGACAATCTTCCTAGGACCAGCTTTGTTTCAACTTCTAATACTTCCTTAGGGTTCTTCTAACTTGGGTAAGGACACATGCAAAGGAGTTAAACAAGCAAAAGAAAATGTCCAAGTTTAAGCAGGTAAAATGTCAAGGGACAAGTCAAAATGAAAAGATATTTAAGAGAATATGATTTCTGGATCAATGAAAAATTTTAATTCTGATAAAAATAGCATTAAGTTTGACGTTGGGGAATATGGAAAGGAAGGGCTCAGATTAAGGGGTGTTGCAGAGCCATCAGGAGGTAGGGACTCTATATAGTCTCCCACCCCTCCTGGCCTGGCCTTTTACTCTGGTATCCAGCCTCTGGGAAGAACTATGGACACTACCTCCACAGGGGCTGTCGCTAGGTGACCAGGCAGGGTACAGAGGAGCAGCTAGTGACCCTACCTCTCTTCTCCCCTTTGACCTGTGGAAAAAACTGAAGATAGCTGGGCACATACTCAAATGTTGCCTGGTATAGCTCCACCTTGTTGGTCAGTCACAAGCACCGCTGTATTACAGAGGCCTGGCTAAAGACATCATAAGTAGCTTTCTCTATGTCCTTGGTTCCTGGTGTCGGTGATGTTGGATTTGGGCCTCCTCCTGGAAGGAGCTCAGGCTTGCCCATATCAATCAACGCTGCTCACTGCTTTCAGATAAAAGTTTCACCTAATAAATAGTGTGTTAATACTGGAGCCCGGATAAGCTCCTTGGGGTCTGGGAATCATTAGATGAAATATTCCTCCTTCTCCCTGCCCTTGGCTGAGTCACTCTCCATCTGAAGGATGGTGCTGGGCTCTCCTTCTGCAGGTTCGTAGGTGACGTAGCTGCCTTTGTTCTTGTACAGGTAAAAGAAGATCAAGACCACAACTGAGAGCAGGGTGAGGAAGACCACGGTGATGACAACTTGGAAAGGAGAGGGAAAATGTAGAGATGTTTCAGGATTGAGTACATCTCAGTTATTCACAGGGTCCCCTGAGTTAGGCAGTTCCCTCACTTTTCGTAAGGATCCTTCTGGTCTGGTTAACTAGTGTCCACTTCCAAATCCATATGCCCCAGCTCCTGTGGGACGTGGTCCCTGGGGTCTCTGGGGGCTCAAGCTAAAGACACAAGGCTTCTGACTTCTGATAAAACTGATCTCTCTCTTAACCAGTTTCTGATGAGTATAATAGAAACAGGAAGGAGGCAAACAGGAAATAGCTTATCCCAACAGGAAGGGTTGTTTAAATTCATAGCCTCCTGTGGGGGATTCTCTGCTCCCTCCCATCCTCTTCCTCACACACTGGACAAACCACACACATCCTCTTCCCTATCCACACACTGGAATGCAGTGCCCATATGCACCTATATCTATTTGTGGTCATCTCCCGACCTATCATTTACCAGCAGTACCTCTCACAGAAGCCTTGAAGAGTCTTTCAGAGCTTTGTGTATGTGTGTGTGTTTAAGATAACCTCAAAGGAGCCCACTCATGGACTTGGTCTCTGATTTGTGGTGCTTTCCTGTAGAGGGAATCCTAGTTCATCACACTGGGTTCCTGGCTGTCTGGAAGAAGACAGCCCCTGAACTCAGAGGTCCCTTATATTTGGCTCAGAGCCTTCATTACCTGCAATGAGTGCTGTGCTGGCTTCAGCATCTGGGGACAGGGTCTCCGTGACCCGCTGAATTGGGGTGGTCAGTTCTGAAAAATATAGAAAAGTGGAAAAGGAAATGGGGTGAATTTTTTGCTCTAAAGCATGTTTGTCCTTCAATTTCATTACCCCACCTTCTTCCCTATTCAAAACTTTATCACTCATCTTCTAGAGTAAATCCACACAGATAACCTGGGGAATGGAGGAGAAAATAAACCACCACCCAAAGACAGTGAACATTTTCATGGATTTCTCTCTGCCTAATATAGTAGTTAAGGGATTTAGAGTCTGACTGACAGGGTTCAAATCTGAGCTGTCCTTTACTGGCGGTGGAACCCTGGGAAAATGACCTAACCTCTCTGTCCATCAGCTTCCTCATCTGCAAAATGGATAATAGGGCCTACTTTATACGGTCGTTGTGACATGTAGTAACTCAATAAGGCAAAGTTATTATTAGAAATGTGTATCTTTGCATAAATGAAATTAAACAATGAGTGTGTATATATATTTGTATTATATGGTACATGCTTTTCTTCAATGTTCTTACAAATTTTTTGTAAACATTATTTTTTTTTAAAGATTTTATTAATTTATTTTTAGAGGGGGAAGAGGGAGAAAGAGAGGGAGAGAAACATCAATTGGTTGCATCTTGCACGCCCCTAACCTGAGACCTGGCCTGCAACCCAGGCATATGCCTTGACAGGGAATCAAACCAGAGACCTTTTGGTTTGCGGGGAGACACCCAACCCACTGAGCCACACCAGTCACAGCTGTAAACATTATTTTTAAATAATGAGATAAGGCTCCTCCCTTATTAATAACCCTATCAAGCCCTGGCTGGTGTGGTTCAGCGGATTGACTGCTGGCTTGCAAACCGAAAGGTCTCTGGTTTGATTCCCAGCCAGGGAACATGCCTGGGTTGCAGGCCAGGTCCCCAGGGTGGGGTGTACGAGAGGCAACCAACTAATGTTTCTCCCCCTCTGTTTCTCCCTCTCTCTAAAAATAAATAAATTAAAAAAAAAAAGAAAAGAAAAGAAAAGAAAAGCCCTAGCTGGTGTGGCTCAGTGGGCTGAGCACCGGCCTGCAAACCAAAGGGTCACCAGTTCAATTCCACTGTAGGGCACATGCCTGGGCTGCAGGCCAGGTCCCCAGCAGGGGGCATGCGAAATGCAACCACACATTGATGTTTCTCTCCCTCTCTTTCTCCCTCTCTTCCCCTCTTTAAAAAAAATGAATAAATAAAATTTTTAATAAAAGAACAAAAACATTTTTTTTAAATAAAAGAAAAAAGAAACATAAAATTCACTGCGAGTACTTTCCTTGGATTCAGTAATTGGTGTGGTTTCCACTTTTATTAAGCCATCTGGTGAAGCAGTAAGTACAAATGAAGGAGGTACAAAGAAATTTCCCTCTCTGTGAAAACCATGGATTAATGAAGGAGACAGACCCTGCATCAGATTTTAGTTTTGATGAACAACTTTACTCTGCTGGAGGTGAAGGCTCTCTGGAACCTACTTCTAAAAGGAGGGAGCACACACCCCAGGACGCAGTGAGCAAAGGACTAACAGGGACTCGAGGTTCAAATGCTGGTGGAGATTTAACTGTCAATATTATAATTGAGATTGCTATAAATTGAGTGTTCTCGTTACAGAGTTGAGTGGTTGGCCCTAATCCTGTCTTTCCTGTAAACCCATTTGCAGTAATGTGATTTCAGAATGTGAGTCTTAAAAAATGCACATCAAGTTTTATAGCAGAAAATGCCTATATCAGAGGCCTCTAAAACCCAGAAGAATAGTGTCAGGAAGCTCTATGTAGCTCAAATTGGTAAACAAATTTAAAAAGAATTATATTTGGAGCAAGAACAGGGAAAAGGCTAAGCTTGCTGTTTGGGCCTGAGGATGTCAGGCTGGAGGAAACAGAAAGCAGAATTCCTCTGGCCCTTTTTGCCTCTGTCTCCTATCAAAGAGAACGATTTTTGCATAAAAGGAGCAGCAGGAGGCTGGCGATGTGGGGAAGTGAACTTAAGAGAAGGAATGCAACCCAGAAAGCACCAGACTAATCTAAAAGGAATCCAGATAAATGACAGCCAAGGGCATTGAAAGAACACGTAAGATCACTACTGGTGACGTGGGAGCTTCTGAGAAAGAGAGAGGGGTCAGGAGCCTGATGAACCGTACAAAGGAGGTGGATTCTGTGAGCAGCTGGTGGTCTTGATGTGGTTTCCCAGCAAAATTCTAGAACAAGTGATTAGGGTCTGCTTTGGGGGCCTTCATCCTGAAACAGCACACATCAAGAGCTTGTATGGGACCACTATGAGCACGTGGCTCAGACAAGCCGCACGGCCTTCTTAAGACTGAGAGTCCAGGATCATAGACAGAGAAATTAAAAGTTACTTCAACAAGCGTTTATTGACTGTGTACTCTGCCAGGCTCTCTTCTAGGTTTTGGTCATGGATCAGTGAACACAACAAACAATAGCCCATGCCTTCACAGTTCCTTAAAAAATTAAACAGAATCTACCATATGTCACAGCAATTCCTCTTCTGGGTATATAACCAAAAGAAATTAAAGCAGGCACTCAAAATAGATATTTGTATACCCACATTCACAGCAGTACTATTCACGTATCTAAAAAGTGAAACAACTCAAATGTCCAAGAACAGAGGAATGGGTAAACAAAATGCCATATACACATAAAACGGAATATTATCTAGCTTTAAAAAGGAAGAAAATTCTGACACAATACAAAATGATGAACCTTGAAGACATGCTAAATGAAATAAGCCCGCTGTGAAGGATAAGTATTGCATGGTTCCATTTATATGAGGTACCTGAAATAGTCAAATGCATAGAAGCAGAAAGCAGAATAGTGGTTATCAGGAGGTGGGAGGAGGGCAGAATGGAGAGTTGTTGTTTAATATGTAGAGTTTCAGTTTGGGATGAAAAAGTTGTGGAGAAGGATGATGATGATGCTGCACAACAATGTGAATGATTTAATGCTATAGAATTGTAGGCTTAAAAATTGTAAATTTGCCCTAACCATTGTGGCTCAGTTGGTGGGGCGTTGTCCTGCAAAGCAAAAGGTCCCAGCCAGGGCACATGCCTGGGATGCAGGTTCAGCAGCTGGCCAGGATGCATGTGAAGGGCAGCCAGTAAACGCTTCTCCCTCACATTGTTGTTTCTCTCCCTCCCTTTCTCCCTCCCTCTTCTTCTCCCTAAAAATAAATAAAATCTTTTAAAAAATGTAAATTTTACATTATGTATAATTTTACCACAATTAAAAAAAATTTTTTTCGTCCAATTTACATTCCGAGGGGTCAGGTAGACAATAAACAAAATAAATAGGTGGAAAAATAGCCTTGGCTGGTGTGGCTCAGTGGATTGAGAGCCAGCCTGTGAATCAAAGGGTCGCCAGTTCGATTCAGTCTAGGGCACATGCCTGGGTTGCAGGCCAGGTCCCTAGTTGGGGGTGCGCAAGAGGCAACCACACATTGGTGTTTCTCTCCTTCTCTTTCTCCCTCCCTTTCCCTCTCTCTCAAAAAATAAATAAATAAAATCTTTAAAAAAACGGGTGAAAAAAGACTATTAGTTATTGTTGATTAGTGCTATGTAGAAAAAACAAGCAGGAAGAGGGGACAGGGAGTTTGGATATAGATAGACGTGGTCAGGGAAAGTTCTCCCCGTGAGGTGACTTGAGTAAAGACCCACAGAAGGTGAGGGAGGCAACCATGTAGAGACCTGGCCCATCCCAATATGCCAAGGTAGGGCTACCCACAATACGGAAATGCACCTGGGCCCACTGCATACTTGCCTGTTAGAGGTGCAGCACAGAGGTCACTTGGAGGGAGCAAGAAGGAGAACAGGAGATAAAATTGAGAGGGCTACATGAGTGAGTGAGATGGGAATCTTTAAGAGGTTTCTGAGGAGAGCCTGGTTAAAATATATAAAAGGTTTTATTTATTTATATTTAGAGAAAGGGGGAGGGAGGGGAAAACAGAGGAAGAGAAACATCAGTGTGCGATTAACGTGCAAGAGCTACACCCATTGGTTCTTCCCACACCCCCAACTGGGGACCTGGCAGGAGACCCAGACATGTGCCTTGACTGGGAATCAAACTGGCAGCCTTTCGGGTCACACGCTGGCACTCAATCCACTGAGCCACACCAGCGAGGGCTGGAGTTATATTTTAAAGCAGTGCTTCTCAAACCCTGTTGTGCATAAGAATCTTCTAGGGATCAGGTGAAAATGAAGATTCTGATTCAGTAGGTTTGGGGTAGGGCTTGAATTTCCAAAGATCATGCTTTTTTTTTTTTTTTTTTAATTCATTGCTTGTAGACAGAGAGAGGAAAGGAGAGAGAGAAACATTGAATGAGAAATACTGATTGGTCACCTTCCGTTGCCCCCAGACCGGGAATCAAACCTACAACTCTTTGGTTACAGGATGACTTTCCAACCAACTGGCCAGGGCTCAAAGAGCACACTTTTGGAACACTGTGTCCACTACGTTGTGAGAAAGCCTAATCCAGACCAATGAAGGGTGAAATGCCACATGGAGAAAAAGTGAGGGCCCCGGGCTCAGCCAGCCAGTACCAAGTACTAGATGTATGAGGAAGGTCATCTTGGACCTTCTAGCCCAGCGGGCCTTCCAGCGGATTCCAGCTGCATCAGTAAACACAGCAGAGGAGTCCCCAGCCAACCTACAGAATTCTAAGAAATAATACATTGCTATTGATGCCCTGGACAGGTAGCTCAATTGGTAAGAGCATCATCCCAATATCCCAAGGTTGTGGGTTTGATCCCTAGTCAGGACACATAGAAAAATTAACCAATGAATGTATAAATAAGTGGAACAACAAATCAGTTTCCCCTAGCTAAAATCAATTAAAAATTAAAAAAACCCCCACAAAACCTAGACATTGCTATTGTTTTAAGCCACTAAGTGTTGAGGTGGTTTGTTATGCAGCAGTAAGAAACTGAAAGAGAAAAGGATCCTGTGGGAAAGTAGGGGTGGAAGGAGAAGCCGGCTATACCTGGCACAAGGGCACAGCTGC